CCAGCGACACCAAGAGTTGGGCCAGCACCGAGGCGGCCGTGTAGGCCACCAGCATGATGCCCCTGCAGTAGCCGCTCACCTTCTGGTAGTGCTCTGGGCTGACCACGCTGTATATGTAGGCAAAGTAGGCCACCTCGGTGGCAGTGACTATCCCATAGAAGAACTCCACAACCTGCATGGCTGTCACTCCTTGGCCAAACAGGAGCAGCAGGTAGGTAGTGATTAAGCTAATCCCTTGGAGGATGATGACCGGCTTGTAGCGGACGTAATCGGTGAGGATGAACACGGGGAGCAGCAGCAGCAGGTAAGAGTATGTCCACACAGGAAGGACCTCATTGGTTATCTGTGAAGTTGGAAAATGGATAGTGTGACCATGTAGCACCAGGAAATGAAAAGAACACCTTTCTTAGCCATGTACATACTAAGGCAGTGATGGCGAACCAAAAAAATGAGTTCGCGTGTCACCTCTGACACGCGTGTCATAGTTTCACCATTACTGTACTAAGGTATGTCGCTTGCACAATGTCAAATTTTGTATCCAATTGGATAGGATATTCTTCATATTTTGAAAAAGAATGGAAAATGGATTTTCAAGACAGCCACTAGGAAAACAGAGCTCCCCTTGCACCTGCCAAAAAAATTATATACTTCTGTGCATCTCAGTAAGAGAATATGTACAACTGAACTATATTATGTTTAGATGTATTTGTTCAACAGACACTTCTAGTTTGTTCAGGCTCTTAAAAAAATACCATTACCATAGAATTGTACACCTGAAATCTTATAATTTTATTAATCAATGTCACCCCAATAAATTCAATAATAATACCATTCCCTTCCTGTTTAAAGATTAATATTAGATAAAGAGGCTACCATGCTAAAAGAACCCAACAACCTTTATCTTTATTTGACCCATCCCTATGTCAAAAATGTCAGCCCTTCCAAAGTCTGGATAAATATATACACAAAGATCAAAGAGTAAATACTGGTATAGAATTATGGAGTTGGAAAAAGAAAAGCATTTAATATTCTTCCTGGTCAAATTTTCTGGGCTCCCCAACCCTCTTCCCCCCCTCCCCCCCCCACCAATTCTACTGGTTTGTCTCAATTCTGGCCTCTGTTTAAGATGGATTAAATAATAGAGTTAGTAAAAAATGCAATGCATGGGACCTCAAGGTTCTTTCATAGGGAGAAAGTACTGAAAAAGCTGTTGATTTGGGGATCGTGAGGGGTACAGGTGCAGCTCCACCATACAAGCCTTTGCTCTATCCCTTCTGCTTTCTACAGCATCAACTTTAGTGGGTTTAAATGTCAACAATGAGGGAAAGTCCAGTGATTTGAAAGGCTAGTGTAGTGATGGTGAACCTTTTGAGCTCGCGTGTCAGCATTTTGAAAAACCCTAACTTAACTCTGGTACCGTGTCACATATAGAAATTTTTTGATATTTGCAACCATAGTAAAACAAAGACTTATATTTTTGATATGTATTTTATATATTTAAATACCATTTAACAAAGAAAAATCAACCAAAAAAATGAGTTCACGTGTCACCTCTGACACGCGTGTCATAGGATCGCCATCACTAGGCTAGTGTCACTGAGCTGTGCCTTAGGATGGATACATTAACTGGTCCATCATGGTCGAAGAAGCAGATCCTTGGGATTCACTTGCTGATTCTGAACCTGTATCTGTCATTGTTTTGCCTTAACCATGACATACTTCCATTTGGCAATCTTTGAAACACAGTTGTCTCTAAGTGATTTTATATCACACACAAGTTCACCTCTCTGTCCTTGCCACCAAGGAAACCAGCATCAATTAGTCTTCCCAGTGAAGCCACACCATCTTCAGTGTTTTCATTACTCTGGCTGGAGATTATACCAGTAAAACTAGCCCAGAGTAATTCTCCAGGTGAGTCACGGCATTTCTTGTTGCATTTTTAGACAAAAAAAGAAAAGAAAAGAAAAGAAAAAGAGGTGGATCTTTTAAGTAAGAGAATTTGGCCTTCTGGGGAAGATAATGCTGGTAGATAGTTTTTCAAAACTGAGGAAGTGTCCTAAAGAGATGCAACAATTCTTTATCAGAGTCTGCTTATACATCACCATCCTGGAAGTTTACTAGGACTAGTTCTAGTGCCTGGCAGCGACTTTATTTTAGGACTAGAGGCCTGGTGCACAAAATTCGTGCATAGGTGGTGTCCCTTCACCTGGCTGGTGATTGGGGCCAATCAGGGCCATCTCGCCCAGTCCCGATCGAGGCTGGTGGCTAGGGAGGCACCAAGGGAGGGCTCCAGGGCATGTCCGGCATCTTTGCCAGTCCTGATTGGCTGGACCCAGCAGCAAGCTAACCTACCAGTCGGAGCATTGGCCCCCTGGTAGTCAGTGCACATCATAGTCACCAGTCAGTCGACTAGTCGGTGGGACACTTAGCATATGAGGCTTTTATATCTATAGATTAGTGTCATAGAATCAATGGAGACCTGAAAGGTTTCCATGCAGTAAGACCAATGTTAGAACTCTATAAAAGTTAAAATATTTATCACAACCTGTAACGTATTTTGGTTTCCCATTTTTGCAAGTGTGAGGAGGAAAGAATAGTTTGAACAGTTCTATTAAATACAAATACCATGAAAATGAGATTCATTGAAGTCAGCACATTAACCTTATTCAAGTCTGGTAAAATTGAACCACATTAACACACATATTGATATTAACTTACCTCTGTGCTGGTCAGGTTTTTGTCTGGTCCAGATAAGTATGGGATAAGGAAAGGTTCTGAGGGTCTCATCATGGAGAAAAACCCAAATAAGCAGAGGATGACAGTGGGATAAATCCAGGAATGGCTCGGTGAAGTTTGGAAACAGTCCATGGCTGATGAAATGGAAACAGAGCCAATGTTAATTGATGTTTACTCTTTTTGGCTTCTTGGGAATAATGAAAAACCGATTATCTCCAAATGTTTTATGGCAGTTTCTCCATCTGTAGCTGAAATAGAAAGGTGTGATGAATAACTGCTCTCAAATATTCCGTAGGTTAACCAGTCAAACCCTCTGTTGCCAATAAACTTCTTTTTCATTATTGCTGGGGTAGTCACACTTCACTGTTCTTCATCACACACGTGGTAATGAGTAGCCACTAATAAATAGTAAACAATGGGCCAATGAATGTTTGAAAATAAGTAAAACACATGTAACCACAGACATTCAGAGAACAGTCTAGGGGGGGGGGGAGATTAATTCATCAGCAAATGTTTCATGAAATTAAAAACAAATGATGGCATATATGATAAAATGGGACCAGAAGCATGTACATATTTTGAAGATCACTTGTATCTACTCTTTCAATGGTTTTGACCAAGGAATTCAACATTTTTCATCTCATGGCAACATACTCCTAGGTAAGGTCAAACCCAAAAGAACATAGATTGAGTTGATGAAGCCTTCTATTAGACTCTGAAATCTTTAACACATTGTATGGCACATATTTACACATGAATCCCACTAGGGAACAAACCTGACACCCAGGCGTGTGCCCTGACTGGTAATGGAATCCACAACCCTTTGGTACGCTGGACGATGCTCAACCTACTGAGCCACTCAGGCCAACTGCAAGAATTCTTAAAACATATAATACCTCACTATTTAGTCAGGGGCACTGACCTCTTTTCCCTTAGACTGTCAAATAAAAAATAATGACAATAGCCAACACGACAATAGCTGTCCAGTGTAAATGAATCCAAATTACACCTATCTTTTTTGTCAGATTGGCAAAAAATATATTTTTTGGTGTGCCGCAGATTTTAGAAATTAGTTTATGTGTGCCATGAGATGAAAAAGATTGAAATTCCCTGTCCAAAACCATTGAAAGAGTAGATTCAAGTGATCTTCAAAATATGTACACTAAGCATGGCAAACTTGCAGCCCGTGGGCTGCATGCCTCGTTTATTTGGCCCGCGCTACCCTTTGAGTTTGACATGCTTGATGTACACGCTTCTGATTCCATTTTATCATATATGCCATCATTCTTTTTGACTTTCATGAAACATTTGCTGGTGAATTAGTCACTCCTCCCAGATTGTTTATTTTCTGTCTGTTTATGGTTTCATCACTTGAGTCTCAGGTGAGCCAGGAGGAATATTTCTAGCAAAATCACAGAACCAGAGGACAACCTAGAGAGAAAGTCACCTCACCACATCGCACCACTGAAATGTGCTGTGGTAACTGGTCAAGTGCACATGGAGGGGTGAGAACAAATTTGTCTTTCACGGAAAAGCTATGCATTGTTTGAGCTCTTTTACAACTTTGTTAGTTGCATTAATTGATAACAATGTGACATCATTCTTATCTCTGGCCATGCAAATGAGTTATAACCAAGGAAGCAACAACCCTCTTCCCTCTCCCATCTGGAAAACCAGTTTTGCCTGCATTTCAGCATTCCTGATCTATACATCTACCATTCTTTGGATTCTTCTTTGATCTGGTTGGAATATCCTTACCAGCTTTCTGAAAAATGAGTTAATAAAACCTTTAATACATGCTCATTTTTTTAAAAAGTTATCTTTATTGTTGAAAGTATTACAGATGTTCCTGCTCCCCCCATGACCCTCTCTACCCTGCTTGTGTTCATTTTTATATCTGTTTGAGACTCCTGACTTTATTCTTTTCTAGAATTTTCTTTCAATGCCTGTTACCATTCACCATGCCTCAGCCTATCCAAATAACCTCCAATTTGTTCCTCTGAATCTAAATGATTTGCTAATCGTTGTTAAATCCCCAAATTAGTCTTAATATTTTGACATCTCACTGCAGACCTTCCCAGATTTAGGCTTGTTTTTTTCCCTCCAGGCTTGGGCTTTCCATGGACAATGTGGCCCCATGGGAAGAACATGACTTTGGAGTTTCAAGTTCATGTTCCTCTTGCCCCACCCCTGTTTGTGACAGGTACTTAACCTCTCCAAGCCTCCTCTTAAAAGGTGGATAATTACACCCATCCCACAAGGTTTTCTCAGGGACTGTTCCGTCTGGTTCTTGGCACACATTATGCGTTCAGTACAGCCGCCTTCTCACCTCCCTCACTAAGCACACACGGCAGATTCAACCAGAAAGAAAACAGCTGGGCACTCAAGGTTCAGACGGTAACTTCAGAAAGGTAAGCAATTCACGGTTCATAATTTCACCTAAACCGCTACGGGACAACAGGCCAGATACACTGATCTTTCAATATTCATGCCTGAATTGCATTTACCATTCCCCACCCTTAAATCACTATTGCTAGTCTATAATCAATAATGCCTGAACCAAATTCGCGTTTTTGTCCATTGCAGCTACTCTTCAGACAGTTGGAAGAAAAACATATCGGAATTTAGTCGTGTTTTGCTCTAATTAAAACACATACCTTGTTGAAAACACACCTCCCATCTTTAGGAGACACTAATGTGCTCAGATATATGTAGGAGTGTTTTTAGAAGGTTGTTCCTTTCACCCTTTCCTTTCCGTCCTATAAGCACCGGACAAGCCAAACCTATTGCATCTGAACAGCAGCACCAACTTGCTCTACACCTAATTTGATGACCCTTCTCTTAGTTTCAATGAAAGGAGTTCTCCGTGGAGCCCAGGTCTCTAACCTTCAAAGCGCCCTTTCTTTTCCGCACTCGGGACCTTTTGGCGAGTTTTAGATGGGAATTTGCAATCCCAGTGCCTGGGATGCTGGCTCTTCACCAGAATCCCGGCTGTGATTAATCTGCCTTTCCTGAAGGCAGAAGGTGACCTACTGGGGCGATGCGCGCCGCGCTGGAGGGGAGCTCCCAGCGGCGGGAGGAGGCTCGCGAGCGCGGCCAGACCGGTCCCAACCCGCCGCCGCTGCGCCCCCGAAACTGGGGAACGGGGAGTGCTGTGGCCCAGCGATCATGCATTTCTTCCATGAATTCACCTCCCGGGGCCTCTCTTACCTGCGGAAGGGCGTTTCTGCTCGTCAAATCGCTCACATCCTTGGATAACCAGCCCCGGAGGACCACGACCTTCAGCCATCCGCGCGCGGGCAGCCACGCGCTGGAGGCCGGGGTGGGGGCAGGACCCAGCCTGAGACCCCGCCCAACGTCTGGTACCTGCCAGTTACAGGCGCCCAGAGCGTTAAACTGGAGGCGGGAATCCGCAGCCTATGGGCAGACACCAACTGCGGACCTTAAAGTAAGGAAGGACTTGAAGTATTATACTGATACCAATATCAACGTGAGGAAGCAAGATGAACTGAATGCAAAGTCGATCTGTTTATACACGGCAGTTCCTATAAATCCATTTATTTCTCTCAAAAATTCCCGAGAGACACAGCTTTGATCCCCACTCTGCACATGAAAAAAACGAAGGCAGAAAGAGGTAAGGTTAATAAATAGAGAAGCCTGGATTTGTTGTGGTTACTGGGGCATCCTGAATCCGTTGCCAATGTTTATAATCACTAGGTATTTTTTTTCTTTAGGTGGTGGGGTGGGGGTGGTTTCCTAGGACTTTGAGAATTTTCTAGTACAAATAGTTCATATATTAAATACTTTTTTTTTTTAAATCAAGAGAGGTTTAAAAAAGCATTATAAGTTTCTCATTGGTTAAAGTGGAATTAAAAAAATTGCTGAGCTGTTGGTGGAAATGAAAAACCCTCCCCCAAGATAAACACTGCTTGGTTTCTAAGGGCTGCTAGTGGGAATGGAATTGATTACAATTCCTCCAGGTGTCCTGGGTCCCTGTCCTACTGGTTTGGATTTTCTATTCTCATCCTCCTATGATTTTCGGAAATCTGCCTATAAAGTACCATGATGCACTTCGGGAGTGGGAATACCATGTGCACAGTGGGACAGATGCCCTTATGAATTTCAGGGCCCTCCCAAAGAACACTGTGACTTTTTTTTAAAGGTTGAGGGTGTCATGATTTCCTCCACACCACTCCCCAAGAAAGGACCTCATTTGCACCTTGAGAAGTTACTTTTGTGTTTCTTTGCTATCTCATAGACAGTCTAAAGTCCAGTGGTTCTCAACCTTCTGGCCCTTTAAATACAGTTCCTCATGTTGTGACCCAACCATAAAATTATTTTCGTTGCTACTTCATAACTGTAATGTTGTTACTCTTATGAATCGTAACATAAATATCTGATATGCAGGATGGTCTTAGGCGGCCCCTGTGAAAGGGTCGTTCGACCGCCAAAGGGGTCACGACCTACAGGTTGAGAACCGCTGCCTCTAAACCAAAGAAAGGTGATGAGGAATTCATCAATTCATAGAAAAGTAAACATATTTGCTGATGAGTTGACATGAGGCCTAAATTTGGTTCCACATGATCCAGAGGTGGGTTCACAGATGACCAGAGATGAGCCATGTGTTGATAATTGTTGGCTTGGGTGATGGTTCTTAGGAATTTATTGTACTATTCTCCACTTGTGTGTACGCTTGGCATTTTCTATAGTTAAGAGTTTTAAAATAATCTGTTCACCAATGCCCTATTTACTGAGTACTGTACTAGTGCCAGGCCTGCTCTAGGTCCTTGAGATACATCAGTGAACAGAGAGTTAGAAATCTTTGCTTTGTAGAATGCACTTTCCAGTTGGACATGGGGTGAGGCAGAGGGAACCCTGTAGAGTAAACATGATAAATTCATGGATTTTATGGCATGTTAGAAAGTGTTACATGCTATGTAAAAGGAAAAAAAAACAACAACGACAGGGATCAGATGAGGATGTAGAATGACGGAGAAGAGGGCTAGGTTCTGAGCCTTGGGGCGTCAGTCTTGGGAAAGAACCTACAGGTGAGGCTGGAGAGGGGTAGCAGTGAGGGGCAAAGGAAGGTGAAGGACTTATGAGGAAGGAGGAAGGAAATGGGTTGGGGTGGGAGAAGGGAGTGGTTAGTCAGATGTGTCAAATGCTGCTGGGGGGCCAAATGAAAAGCCTTGTAGAAAGTGTACACTTTTCACTTGGTCAACTTACCCAGAAAATGGATTGAGAACCTCTTACGTTGGTACTTAATAATCTGATTGCAACAATGTACAAAAATCCTTGATGTAGGAGTGGGTCAAGTTGGCCAGAAAAAACAATCTGACATGGGAAGCTGTACTGTAATCGCCTCCTTCTCAGAGGTCAAGCCTTTGAAGCAAAAGATTTCTAGTGCTTGGCTGAGTACCTGGCCTAATGTAACACTCACCTATTTGCTGAATGAATAAGAAAACCACTACATGGAATGCTGGAGTAAAGCTAGGGGCTGTCAGCACTTCTTACAACCAGAATTTGGTTGCAGACATAGATGTCATGAAAGTGTCTGTAGAGCACAGGAATTTGCCTCAATGACACTGACGACCAAATGTAAAACCCAGTATAAGGCAGTGTAGGACCAATCATTTGTTAGCTGAAACCTATCCCAGGTCTTTAAATATCACCCTTCATCTTTTGTTCTATTGTTCTTACTCATTGGAGGGTATACATCTTCTAGAACAGAGACACATTGGAATAGAAAAGTTTATTTTTTATTTTTTATTAAGAAAGAGTTGCTTTTTTTGAGAGAGAGACAAATGGGAAAATATTAGTGGGTATACAATACAAAAGAACAAAAAAGTTCATCATAAATAAATTTTTCAATAAAATAAAATATTAGCTACCATGATTTTATTTTGTTAAACTCATAAATAGATTTTTGATGTGGGTGTCTGGGTTCCCAACCCCTAATGTTGATAATATATGGTGGTATTTTATCTTTTTTTCCCAAATGGAGACAAGATTCCAAAGATGAGAGAGAATAAATACTCCTTGATGCTAAGTTCTTGAAGATACTGGGAGAAGAAGTTGATGTCATCATGATGCCAGGCTGAAGGGAAACAACCAGCCCTGTACCGTCAGAGTGCAGGGGACAGAATGAGCAATTCCAAAGCACGGAGTACGCAGGACTGGAGGAAGCAGGTGGAGGAAGGAAGAAAGTCTCACCAAATTCCATGAGCAAAGCCAGAGGAAACTTACCCTAGAGGAAGAGGCTACTGCCTAGCAGCAGCATTGCTTCTGGCAGCAGCACTTACACTGGCAGCACTTCTGCTGACAGCAGCCCTTCCCGCAGCCACAGCCACAGCCACAGGAGCCACAGCCACAGGAGCCACAGCCACAGGAGCGGCGGCAGCAGCAGACCACGGGGACGCTGCAGCAGCCCCCGCAGCAGCCACGGCAGCAGGGGCAGCAGCCAGAGCAGCAGCCGACCCTGTAGCATCTGCAGGTGGTGCAGCCACCGCAGCCGCCGCCGCAGCCACCACAGCCGCCGCCACAGCCACAGCCACCACCACAACCACCACAGCCACAGCCACCACCGCAGCCACCACAGCCACAGCACCCCATGGTATCAGCAGAGAGGACTCAGGTGAAGTGAGGAGAGAGACTTAGGAGATGAGAGACGTCTGATGCCCTTTGCTTCAGGGGCCCTTATATACCCCCTTGGGGCTGAAACCAGGCCACGTGGCCACTTCCTGATTGTAGTTCACCAGCTTTCCTCGGAGAATTTCACAAGACCCTGAGTGTATTTCCTCACGGACACCTCTGAGCTCACAGACTTGTTTATTTTTGTACTTCTTCCTCAAGTTACTCTTCTAGTAAAACATGTTTCTAGAATGTTTAATCTTGTTTGAATCTAGCTGTCTTCACGTCCCAAGCCAAGGTCCCTCTGTGACTCATTGTCTTTAGTTTAGGATAAATCATGTCTACTTTTTAGAAGCAGACTATATTTTTTAGAGCAGTTTCAGGCTCATGGCAAAATAGTGCTGAAAGTACAGAGTGTTTCCATAGGCCCCTTGTCCCCCTGTTCACAGCCTCCCCGCTATCAGCCCCTGCACCGCAGCAGTGCAGTTGTGACAATGAGCCTATGTTGACATGTGATTATCACCTGAAATTCTGTGTTTTTTTTTTTTTAATGCCTTCATGTTACCGGATCACAGCCCTTTGTCTGTGTTCACAATCAGACTGTGAGCTTCCTAAAGTCTGGGGTTGTATTGTATGTGTATTTTCATCCCAGTATCAGGAGCACAGAGGTGAGCTGACAAAGAGACAGGTTAATGAGTAAATGTTTGTGCCCCTCACCCCCCAGTTCATATGCTGAATCTTAAGCACATTTTAATGGGAGTCTATTTTACCTCCTGGGAACAGTTGGGTTGTCATAATTGGGAGAGTGGCCATAGCTAGTGGGTGGAAGCCAGGGGCTGTTCAACATCCTACCATGCACAGGACATCCCCACAACAAGGATCTGTCTGGCTCCAGCCGTCAGTGGTGCCAAAGTTGAGAAACACTGCTGTAGGGCTTTACACTTCCAAAGCATTTTCCCATTTATTATTTCAATACCATAGAGTTTCCAGAGACTCATCTACAAGAAAATTATTCCTCCCTCACTTAATTAATAAAGAAGCATGAAGCCCCTGGCATGTATGAAGTTCTGTGCTGGCAAGTCCCGTAACAGATCATTGGTGCCTTTGTTTGGTCTGTGATTTAGAACAGGAACTAAGGCCGGATCAGGGCCACGTGTATCAGAACATGTGAGACTGCGATGTGGGTCGTGTCTGCTGATACCAACGGCTTTGAGTGTTAATGAACAATATATATCTACACAGTTAAATAATTCCAGTCCCCCCTCCCAGACTTCTCACGCTCTAGGCCACTCTGCAGAGGCAGATTGTCATCTTGCCAGCTGCTTCTGCTGGGAGCTGACCCCATATTTCTTGTTCATTCCTTTTTATGGCTGCTGTTTGATTGCCAATGCTAGTTTTTGTTATAGACTAGAGACCCGATGCAAGAAATTTGTGCATGGGTAGGGTCTCTAGGACTGGCCAGCGATCAGGGCCGATATGTGGGGCAACCGGTGGGGTGATCGGGGGCAGGCGGGAGCCCTGCTGGCACCCACCTTGGCCTGGTGCCGCCCCCTTGCTAGCTGGCCCTGCCCCCAGATTCCCTGCCAGCCGCTGCTCACCTCCCTCTGCGGGGCAACCCACAGCTCCTGCGTTAAGTGTCTGCCCCCTGGTGGTCAGTGAACATCATAGCAACCAGTTGTTCCATTGGTCATTCTGCTGTTCAGTCAATTTGCATATTAGGCTTTTATTATATAGGATGGGGATCTAACTCTCTTATACAACTCTCAATGTATTTTTTCCACCATTTTTAGTAAAATCCATACTAGAGATAACTTAATTATTTATATATATAAAAGCCTAATATGCTAAGTGTCCGACCAAGTGGTGGACCGACCGGTTGCTATGATATGCACTGACCACCAAGGGGCAGATGCTCCAACTGGTAGGTTAGCTTGCCGCTGGAGTCTGGCTGATCAGGACTGGGTGAGATGGGCCGGACATGCCCTGGAGCCCACCCATGGTTCCTCCTATGGTCCCTCCCCAGCCACCGCCCCGATCGGCCCCGATTGGGACTGGGCAAGATGGCCCTGATTGGCCCTGATCGCTGGCCAGGTGGAGGGACCCCACCCATGCATGATTTTTGTGCACCAGGCCTCTAGTTATAATATAAACTAGTGGCCTGGTGCACGAAATTCGTGTCCCTCAGCACGGGATGGGGCGGGAGGTCTCCAATCTGGGACCCCTCTGGGGATGTCCGACTCACAATCCGGGACTGCTGGCTCCTAACTACTCACCTGTCTGCCTGCCTGATCACCCCCTAACCACTCCTCTGCTGGCCTGATTGATGCCTAACTGCTCCCCTGCCAGCCCAATCGCCTCCAACTGCCCGCCCCTCCCAGCCTGATGGCCCCCAACTGCCCTCCCCTCCCGGCCTGATGGCCCCCAATGCCCTCCCCTGCCACGACCCGTCTCCTCTGCCGGGACCCACCTCCTTCACATGAGGCGGCGGAGACACTGGGACTGACCTCCTCCATGCCGCATGGAACTGCGGGCCCCCAGGCCTCACCGCATGGAGCGGCCACCGGGCCCTACCTCCACTGTGTGTGTGGCCATCTTGTGGCAGCCATCTTGTGACGATGTCGAGCATGAGGACTTTCATTAGTATAGATATAGATGTTGCTCATTATAGAGTCCAAATAGGCTACTGTGATTATACTTCCTTCATGTACAAACCTTTTATTTTTCTGGAATATCTTCCTTTTTATTTTTATTTTTTGCTTTTGCTTCATCTGTCTGCCAAGTGGGCCATATTATTTTGCATGTATATTTTTCTTTTTAAATATCAATTAATGAAAACTCTTCAAGCACCCCAACTCTTTTTGTCTTTCTAATTAGGAAATGTCTTCTTATTTTAAATACAATACAAATTGTGCCAGATAAGATGAGTCATTGCAAAGACATGCTTGTGCTTTCTAAGCAATCACACGATGTGAGTGACACCAAATAATGTGGCCCAGTGACCTGCTTTGCAGCTGTGTAAGGCGGAGTGAGACCTTCATTCCTGTAAGCCAGCTCTGGTTAGGTATCAGGGCTGCTTCTGCACTGGGCCATGACATTGGAGCCTGAGGACTCTTTTGTTCCTCCATGTAAGAGGACCTCTGGGCTGTGCCCAGCCTGGCCTCCTGTAATGCTTGCTTGTTGTTCAGTTGTCAGACCACCGGTTCAAGCACAGCCTGCCGTGCTATATGGGTCTTCTTAGTGTGCCCATGACGTGGACAGTACCCCCTTTTCCGAGGCTCCGAGGGGCCCTTACTGGGATTTTTAAGGCATTTGACTTAGAAAAATAAACAAGTAGTCTAATAAACCTAGCTGACATTCCAAAAAAGGGAAGTAATTAATAGAGTATGTGGTTCTCCCGTGACAACTGAGCCAAATAACAACAAGGAAGTGGTCATGTGTCCTCCCTCTCCCACTCCCAGGGGTGCTATATAAGGGCCCCCCCAGCAGAAAGGACATCAGACCTCCCTCACCTCCTGATTATCACTCCTCACCTCTCCTGAGACCTCTCTACTGACACTATGGGGTGTTGTGGCTGTGGTGGCTGTGGTGGTGGCTGTGGTGGCCGCTGTGGTGGCTGTGGTGGCCGCTGTGGTGGCTGTGGAGGCTGTGGTGGCTGTGGTGGCGGCTGTGGTGGCTGCACCACCTGCAGATGCTACCGGGTTGGCTGCTGCTCTGGCTGCTGCCCCTGCTGCCGTGGCTGCTGCGGGGGCTGCTGCAGCGTCCCCGTGGTCTGCTGCTGCCGCCGCTCCTGTGGCTGTGGCTCCTGTGGCTCCTGTGGCTGTGGCTCCTGTGGCTGTGGCTCCTGTGGCTGTGGCTGTTGTCAACAGAAGTGCTGCTGTCAGCAGAAGTGCTGCTGCAAGAAGCAATGCTGCTGCTAGGCGGGCCTGCTGGCTCTGGACAGGTGCTGCAGGTAACTCCCATTGGTAAGGTGCTTCCTCTTCCTGCCAGTCCTTCATGATTTGAAAGTCACGGGGGTGACAGGAGACTGGTTCTCAGGCTGAGGAGTTAAATCCATATCCCTGGGTGTTTGAGTTCCTGCCTCCAAAGGAAAAATGCTAGCACAAACCTTCTCCATCTACCACCCATCAAAGGGTGAACCCAACAAAACAGAGTGATGATTTTAATGCTGTGCTTCCTTGAGATTTTATTGTTGAAATGTTTGTTGCTATTTGCCCACTCTTTCTGTAGCTTCTCCATCCTGTATCTTTGCTACTATCTTCTGTAGACCTGTCATTTCTTCTCAATAAACCACATCAAATTGGCATCAAAGTCTCATCATCTCCTTTTATTTCTTATTGGAATGTGTCTCATTGAAAGATTCCGTCAAACCCATAAAGTCAGACCCTGAAGTTTGTTTGAGATGGTTTAGGAGTAGTTAATTGGTGATCTGTCTCTAATAGGTTTTCACACATGGTTAAGATTTGGTAGCTTCAACTATCCTCTTACATAAGTCAGAAGGATTCTGGGAACATTGTATCAATGGACTCAGCATTGAATGCCTAAAGCCATGTGTATCTAGTTAGGACTTGGTTATTTTAGTTTGGTTCTATTAAGTTTAAAATCCAATTACAGTTTAATGAGATTTTTTATTCTATCACCTGTATTAGTTAACTGTGTCTTTGGCAGGCTATGGTTAGGAAGAGTTGTGAGTTACTAAAGCACTATCCACTTTGATTATGTTCCATCCTAAGTAAACAAGAACATGAAAATAAAGACGTCATACAACATCTCCGAGTCCACCCCCACGGGTAAAGCCACACACAGAGCACAATGCTGGTGAACTCACCTTCTGAATGCAGTGCCCCTTCCCCCTTTTATATGTTCAATCCCTTAGAATTTCCTGCCTAAATCTGTTCCATGTTGAAAGTGAGAGCTGGAGAAAGGGGGGCCCGCTGGCTGCCCCGGGGCTGGGGAAGGTGATTTACCCCCAGGGGCTCGTGCCCCCTCACCCCCCCGCCACCCCACCACAGACATCTTGCCCTCTATCTCCCACTCACAGAGAGTAGATGCTCCAGAGTGTTGCTTTCCGAGGAAGTGCGGGAGGGGCTGGCGCAGGGCCACACACAGGTAACAGTGGCAAGGATGCTTCCAGAGAGAGGCTGCGAGTGCGAGGGCGTCACCGGACTACGGAGACATGGGCCCTTCCGGCCGGGCCCAGTCTCTTTTCAGATGTCCCCAGAAGGCGACAGGCGATGGTGCTTGCAGGGTGGGGGGTTACTACTTGTTACTAAATGTTAGCGACACATAATAAGGGCATCACAGGAGCCGGACAATACTATGAACTAGAGAGATTCACTTTGCTCCAGATCTGGAGATCACCAGCTGCCAGACACGGCGCCGGGCATGGTGGGATTAGAACAATGAGAGGTGATGGGCGAGTGACCCGTCCGGGTCCCTGGGACAGAGTGCCTGCACACTACCATTGGGGGTGGGGGGGGGGGGGGAGGTCAGCAAGGGTGCTGGGAGCAGGAAGCTCAGCAAGGTAAACGAAAGGGGGGGGGGGGGTTGGGGTGGATTGCATTTCATGGTGTCATTTTCGGTCCTTGTAAACGTCTGCTTTGACTGTGAGTGACCTGGGCAGCCTTTAGGGTTTGCCCTTAGAAAGGATATGGTCTGCTTATGTATAAAGGGCTACTCTAAGCAGCACCCGGAGAATCGCCAGGGGAGGGCTGGGAGGGCAGCTGCGCCGCCTGGAGGAAGCAATGGCTGGCTGAGCGCCGGGGGCCTGGACCTGTGCAGGTGATGAGCTCTGGGAATGTCAACCGGATCTGCTGGTAAATCCAGTGCCTGGGGCGTGAGAGGAGGATGGGACTCAGCTGGCAACACTGTCTTTGCTCTGACAGCGTGATTGGCTGTTCATGGAGCTTAACGGGGAGGGGCATCTGCGGGAAAAGCACTTAGGTGTGGGGGGGTGTGTTTCTGGTGGGAAGATGAAGGTCAGTTTCGAACACATAAAGCTCAGCTTGTCAAAGGTCTCCCCCCCCCACCCCCCCCCCGCTATTATTGCGCCCCTGTAAAACCTTGTGAGAGCAGGAGCACTTCATACCGAGTGTGGGGACTCCAGGTCACCTCTGGGTCACGGGTCCCCTGGCCTGGGTGCACAAGGCAAGCCAACATCCCCTCCCATCCTGCAGAGGCAGGCACAGCGCCCCCTTCAGAGCACAGCACTGTGGCGGGTGTGTCATTGGGCCAGCACGGAGCTGT